AAGGATTAATACTGACTGCAATGAATGCTAAAAATTCTATTTTCAGGTTGTTAACTAGGAATCTCAGATTTATAAGGAAATCTTGAATTTCCTCCTCAAGAATAGGGGGTTATAAACATCTGGGATGGCTAGATATGTAAAAGTCCTTTAAATTTCCTTCTTTTACCTCATCATCAGTGACTTAATCCTTCACTCTTATATCCTGCTAAAATGCCCATGATGTGAAGAGAAACTTCTTTTCCTTTGGATAAAAACTACTCATGCAAGTTAGAGAGGAAAAAAATAAGAGTCCATTCTGTCCAACCCTCTGGGGATAGTGCAGGACACTGCTTCAAATTTTGGTCTTTTATTCCATCTAGTTTTCAATGCCTACTTTCACCTAGGCAAAAAAATAAGTGTTTTACTGGTTCAGTAAGGAGTATTGAATATTGAAAAATATTTTCAAACATACTTTAAATTCTGACATTGTACAAGTTTATTTCTCTGTATTCTCAATGGGAGTATTTTCTACTTTATGTAAGAAATGGATGAGGAAGCAGAATTTGAAGAACTATTTTTAAAAACTAAACTTACAAATCTAAGTACTTCAAACACTGCTTAGGACAGGGTCAAAGGCCTACCTGTGGGCCAACTGTGGCCCTCCACCTGTTTTTGTATGGCCTCTGAGTAGAGTGGTTACATTTTTAAATGGTTGAAAAAATAATTAAAGAAGTATGATATTTTGTGATGTGAAAATTATATAAAATTCAAATTTCAATGTCCATAAATAAACTTCAATTGGAACACAGTCCATGCTCATTCATTTAAGAACTGTCTATGGCCTTTGTTTCTTTCTTTTTTCTTTTTCAGAACTGGATAGTTGTGACAGATTTATGGCCCACAAAGTCTAAAATATTTAACTATCTAGGCCTTCACATAAAGACTTTGCCACTCTCTGCCTCAGAAGACCCACACACTTATTCTAATGATACTACAAATTAGGAAAATAGTTTTGATACTCCTTTTTTGAATATGCCTTTTTTGAAAAGTCATTTATTCTTTTGAGTCTCCTCAGTGGTAGCAAATGTTCATTCTTTGAAGATGAGTATGAATTTTGGAAACAACTAAGCCATTTGGAGCCAAGACTGAATTAGGCTGGTTATAAAGATGAATCAATGAGTAAACATTTATTAATAATCTAAATTTATGGAGGCAAAGTTTTCTTTTTAAAAAAAGCACTATCTCTGACTTCCAAGAGCTAACAATCAAGTGAAGGGACAGTTATATCTTTCATAGCCTTGATTCAACGTAAATAGATTCTATATGCATGGAAATGGTAGAGAGGAGGAAGAAACTTCTATAGTAAAGCTAGAAGACCTACTTTCTTGAGTGGCTGTGAATTTGCTTTAAAGATTTTTATACAAAAAAGGAACTCCAATTATACTTTCAGCATACACTTTTGGAATAAATGAGTGATTCCCAAATGAAATTTGAAAGAACAGGCCTCATTTCAGTATAAAAGTTGTTAAACCTTCAATTAAAACCAATATTATTGTTTTATAATCACACCTTATAAAACAGAATTAGCACAAATAAATACATAAATACATAATCCCTTCCATTCAAACAAAGCAAATCATTTATCCTTGGCCTTTTCCCTTTCTAATTCCATATGCCTTCCCTGAGCAATTTCATCTGCTCTTACAGGCTTCCATTACTACTTAGTGGCTGACTCCAAAATCTGAAACACCTATATCAGCCTCTTTCTAGGCTCTGGATTGTCCCTTGACATCTCCACCTGAATGTTCCACAGACACTTCAAACTCAACATGTTCAAAACTGAAACAATTATGTTTCTCTCTCATTAAAAAATACAACAAGTTCCTCTACCCATAGTTTCCCAAGCCAAGAAACTAAGTCATTTACTTTTCTGTTCACCTTCAAAGCCAATCAATGTTTAAGCGCTGTAAAGTCTGCATTTTCATCATCTGTTCTCTCTTCATCTCTACTATTTTTCTGCTCCAGGCCCTTATCCTCCCTTATCTAGACTATTTCAGTAGCAATAGCCTTCTAACTTATCTCTCTACCTTTTGCCTCTCTCTATCCATACCATGTCCATGTTATCTGTCCTAATTACTTAAAACTTCACTGGCTCTCCATTGTCTTTAGAATCAAGTCCAAAGTACTTAGCATGATGTACATGATATGCCTCCTCAACACACTGACATTAACAGACCTATTTTTTCTTTTCCTGAACTTTTTACGCACCTAAATCTGTATATTGTTTTATAACATATACTATACTTCAAAATATAAAAATTATCTTTAACCATATAAAACAGTGAAATATTTTGCCAAACTGGATAAATCTTCATTATTCCAAATGAGAGGTTATTATTCCAAACTGAAACCCCACACTTACCTAATTTCTAGCAATTTAAGTTATCTTGTGATCAGCAACCAAGCTCTGCAATTTTCTTTTTCCAGCTTATTTTCACGCATCATCTCCTTTAGCCTCACCACTTATCTCTATACACTCTGACCTAAATTTAGTGACAATGGACAACACACTTCTCAAACATACTGTATACTCTCACGTAATATTTCTTTCACACATATCCATATCTTCTGTTCCCTTCTCCAACTCAGCAAACTCCTATTCATCCTTCTAAGTCAAATTCAAATATGGTATCTTCTCTCTAATCCTCCTCCCTACCATATAGAGAATTATTTTCCCTCATCAATGTTCCCATTAAGTTCTATCTATAGGTTTGTTATAACTTACCACACTGAAATTGTATGGACTTAACATGTATGGTTATAAGCTTCTTGAAGGCAGGGAAGCACTTTCATTTCTTGAATCTATGGTCTGAGAGCAGAAATTTTAAACTCCTTATTGAAACTTACTTAACTTATAGTCTGAGAACAGACATTTTAAACTTCTTATTGAAAAATAATCACCTTTTTTAAATTAAGATACTGCCATAATTGTGGTAACTGAGTGACTGAGAGCTTAGAAACAAAAAGAATCCCATGTCATTCACCAGGAAAAAAATGCTCTTATATACAAAGCATAATTAAATTGCAGCTTGGACATGCCTTCATCTGCATCTTGCAATACCAGTTTCTCTCTCTTTCTCTCTTTCCTTCTTTTTGAAAACGTTCTTTACAGAACTCTCTTTTAAGTATCTGTGGGACTGCATCTCTATCTCACTCACAGAATTTGAAACTCAGTATAGTGCAGAGGTTAAGATCAGGATTTCTGGAGCTGAGCAGTTTGGTTTCAATCCTAGCTCTGCTACCTAGGCTATTTGATATGGGCAAATTACTCAACCTCTCTATATCTCTTAATGAAGAGATCATAACTGAAACACCTTTCATGATGCTGTTATAAGAATTAAGTAAGGCAATCAATGCATGTAAAAAATTCAGAACACTGCCTGACTCAGAGTGGGTTCCAATAAATGCTAGTTGATGTTGTTATCATCAATTTTAAAAATAGCTTTCTTGGTATTTACTTTAGCCCATTTGGTAAAAGGGTAATCTCCTTGATGGAAGAAATTATATTCTGCCACACGAGTACAATATAAGTGCTAAAACTGTGTCTTGGAATATAAAAGGCACTCAGTACATGATGTGAATATAAGGCTTCAGACCTCCAAGATCAACAAATTATAAATCACCGCAAAACTTACATATGGAGTACCTGTTTAAAACTGGTATTTTAAAGTAGTTTCCAATCACCCATCTTCTACTGAACTATTGAAACATAAAACTTAAAAGAACACAAAAATCATATTCAGTAGGAACTTTCCCTCTATTCCTTTATTTGATTTGATCTTGATATCTAGTGGTCTAAAATTCTTGTTAATAATATAGGACTTGCTACAGATCATTTAAAATATAATTTCCAGCTTGAGAAAATTGCTTGTCACATCAGAAAAATTAATATTCCTCCTTTATATCTGTATTTGAAAAAATCTACTGTCACATTCAACACTCAAAAAAACTAATTATCAGCCATGAGCTATAATTACTACATTTCCTGATTTCTGCCTGGGAAACTACTTCAGAACATGCCTACAATTATCCCCAGTTAAAGTATGCTGGTTACAAACTGCTATATACCCTTTTTCATTTCCAGTCTCCCCACTAAAGCCCCTCACACACTCATAATATCCATAAAAAAGACTGCAAATGTCTATAATAAAGGCTGTGCAAAAAAATACAGCTATATATTAATTTTGTTTTGGAGGACTTAAATCTTACAAAAGCAAATTAAAGTCTTGATTGAAGCAATACTCTCAGCTTACATTGCTATAGCTAACTTAAACTACATTTAAGTAGTTTCTTCACCTGAAGCCAAGAAATAGATTATTTTTTTGCTATCAAACTTCCGTCGGTAAATGATTCAGTAACAGTGTATAGATAACATGTGGTATTCTAGAAAAATTCACTAATCAGTTAAAAATGGACCACATTTGAAACAATGGTGATTCTGTGGCAAAAGAGTTCAAACAACTTATTTACACAGTAAACAGATTTTGGACTTTATCTAAAACACTGTAGGTGAATCACTAGCTTTAGGGTGAAGCTACAGAGTGTCTACTATGTGCGGGCACTCAGTAGTTGTTTTAGAGACTATGCACTCTACTGGTGCACATATTACAATGCCTAGCACTTATAGAATACCCCACTTACCCGTCTGACCCTTCGAATACCCCCAGGCATAACTATCCCAGTTTTACAGTTAAGGAAACAGAGGCCCCGAAAAGTCCATTTGAAAAGGGTATCTTATCTAGTACGTGGGTCCTGGATGAGACTCCAGCCCCTGACTCATAATCTAATCATCTTCTGCTATACTAGTTACTCAAGAGCTTTCAGATGTTCCTCTGTAAGACTTTAAAATCGAAATCCTGCTTGATTTAAAATACTTTCAGTATTGTGCTTGTAAGATTATGTTTAAATCAAAACGCATAAAGTTTAAAGTTCGTCGTCTCAGCGCGTACGTTCAAGCTCACCGGCTCACCCTGGCCAAAGCCCGCGTTTCCCGCTGGATTCGGGACTCCGGCTCCCCGTTCCCCACGACTGCCGGGCGCTCCGTCAGTGAGCGGCGCCGACACCCTCAGCCTGGCTCCGACACCGCCGCCGCGGCGAACGAGGGGTCTCCCCAAGCTAGTGGTCCACAGGGCGCGCCGCGGGACCGTCGGGCGTCCCCCGAGGCCGGGGAGGCGGCGAGACTGCAGGTCGGGGAGCCGACAGCCCCGCCAGCGGCTCCGGGCCACCAGCAGACCGCGTCCGGCAGCCCGTAGACCCGCTCCCGCCGCCAGGCGTGTGACGCCCACTGCACCAGGCGCCGAAGCCCCGGCCTCAGACCCCGCCCCGGATCGCCCCGCTAGTACCTGCCCTGCGTCTGGACACCGCCTCCGCGGCCGAGCTACGACGGTCCCGTCCCCTCCGCGGAGACACCGGGTCTCCTCCGTCTCCCACTCGGGGTCGGCTCCGTCCCGCCCCCGCAGGCCCGGCTGAAGGCCCCGCCCCGCCCCGCCCCGCCAAGGCCGGGTGCCTATTGGCTGCTGTTCCCATCCGTCACGCTCGGCGCCTGTCGCCTCCCGGGGACAGCCGCGAGAGGAACCGCCCCTGCTTGAGTCCGCGCCGCGCCAGAACCTGTACTAGCAGTCTGGTGGCCGCGGCCGCGCAGGCAGGCGACCGGCGCCAGTGTCGTCCGGCCGAGACCTCTAGCCAAAGCTTTATCGTCGCAGCCGTGCCTGCCGCCGGATGGTGCCACGGCGGTAAACCTGAACTTCACATGAAAGTTGACCCTCAACAGCTACCCACGAGATAAAGCCGACTTTAATTAAGGAATCTAAATGAAACCTCACTCAAGGAAATCACAGATTTGTCTTCTGCCACCGGGCGCATTAGGCCTGGGCTCTCCAGGGAAAGAGCAGCACCATTTCTCTGGCTGAGCTCAAGAAGCAAATATTTCTCAGGCAATTGCAGTACAGTGCCAACTTGAAAGGTAAACATATACAAATAACTCTCTGAACATCCAAGGTTTGAAGTCCCAGAGCAGGGGTGCCTTTGATACTTTCAGTGCCGAAGGTGGGCCCCACGCCACGCCCTGTGGTGACACACATGCCTGAGCACTACGCCTGCAACACGCTCATACTAAGGTATGTGCATGGCAGTGTGCCTACTGCGAGCAGAAGCCCAGTTTCACCAAGGCTGCAGTCAAGGATGAGTTGAGCCTGTTTCCCAGGCACTCGCTGATCACCCCACCCTTCTTCGCTCTGCCCCATTCCACCCCACCCCACCCAGCCAGAGCCTCTTTGGGACTGCTGACCAAGTCTTCCCTCATCTGTTCACATAGAGGTACCAAAATAGAAGACTGCGGGAAAGAGAGGTGTTTGGTTACACATCACAGATGACTGTCACAGGCCAAATTAGCCAAAGCAATAAAAGCTGCATATCCCAAACCGTTGTGAAACCAGGTGTTGTGGACAATGAAACAGGAATTATCTTTAATTATGAAAAAAAAAAAGCAATTTGGATACTTTTAAAATCATGTCTCAGTGAAGAAATAATTGTGAATACATTTGTAGTAAATTTTGAACAGCGATCTTTATGGACTATGCTGCCCTCCTGCCGAAAATAGAAAACTTCCCAGTTGTCTAAAATGAAATTTTAGGCTAGAATAGCGTGGTTTTGAAATTTATTTCAAAATCCAAATTTATTTCAAAGTTCAAATTTTGCATTCAGGAAATTTTATTTGCAAAATGAGACAGATGGAATTTCAATTACCAAATATGAAACCAAATCTGGCCTATGTTCTATGCATGAATAAAGGAATTAACATGTATGTATTCTACTACCCTCTCGTAGGTAAGATGGAGATACACATAATGGTAGTTAATGCCCTTTTAACTGTGAGAATAGAATGAATGTATCATTTAGCCATTTGTATTATTTTGATGACAAGGAAGCCAAGATAAAATAAAACAAGATTCGGGCGGAGCCAAGATGGCAGTGTGAGCAGAGCAGTGGAAATCTCCTCCCAAAAACACATAGAGCTATGAAAATATAACAAAGAAAAATCTTCCTAAAATAGAGACCACAGGACACAGGACAACATCCAGACCACATCCACACCTGCAAGAACCCAGCGCCTTGCGAAGGGGGTAAGATACAAGCCCCGGCCCGGCGGGACCCGAGCGCCCCTCCCCCCCGGCTCCCGGCGGGTGGAGAGAAACCGGAGCAGTTTTTTTTTTTTGGCGAGCGCTTTTTGGAAGCCTTAGAGGGACGGGCCCCCGTTGCTGGGGAGGCAGGGTGGCGGGACCGGTGAGGAGGTGCCTGGGAACGGCGCCGGAGGACAAAGAATATCCCGCGTTTCTCCCTGCGAGACCTGGGGGCGGGTGCCTGAGACCGGTGCCTGAGGACGGAGGAGGTCGCGCGTTTTTCCCCTTTTTTTTTTTTTCTCTTTTTGGCGAGCGCTTTTTGGAAGCCTTGAAGGGACGGGGACCCCAGTGCTAGGGAGGCACGGTGGCGGGACTGGTGAGCGGGTGGCTGGGACCGGCGCCTGAGGACAAAGAATATCCCCCGTTTTTCCCTGCGGGACCGGTGGGCGGGTGCCTGAGACCGGCACTTGAGGACAGAGGAAATCGCGCGTTTTTCCCCTTTTTTTTTTCTCTTTTCTGCGAGTGCTTTTTGGAAGCCTAAAAGGGACAGGGACCCCGGTGCTAGGGAGGCAGGGCGGCGGGACTGGTGAGCGGGTGCCTGGGACCGGCACCTGAGGACAAAGAATATCCCGCATTTTTCCCTGTGGGACCGGTGGGTGGGTGCCTGAGACCAGCACCTGAGGACGGAAGAAATCGCGCGTTTTTCCCCTTTTTTTTCTCTCTTTTTGCCAAGTGCTTTTTGGAAGCCTTGAAGGGACAGGGACCCCGGTGCTAGGGAGGCAGGGCGGCGGGACTGGTGAGCGGGTGCGTGGGACCAGTGCCTGAGGACCAAGAATATTGAGCGTTCCTTCCCTGCGGGACCGGTGGGTGGGTGCTTTTTGGAAGCCTTGAAAGGACAGGGACCCTGGTGCTAGGGAGACAGGGCAGCAGGACCAGTGCGCGGGTGCCTGGGACCGGCACCTGGGGAAAAAAAAAAAAAAATCGCGTGTTTTTTCTTTTTTTTTTCCTTTCTGTTCCCTCTCTCATTGTTGCTGTTGTTGTTTTGGTTTGGAGAGTGCTTTTTGGAAATCTTAAAGGGGCAGGACAGGTCACTTAGACCAGAAGCAGGGAATCTGGGGATCTCTGGGCACTCTAACCCCCTGGGCAGCAGGGAGCACAGAGGCCCCTTACGGAGATAAATAGTCTCCTGGCTGCTCCCCCTCCAACGGGGCTCCACCATTTTGGAGGAACAGCCCCAGCCAGGCCAAGCCCACAGCAACAGCGGAGATAAACCCCAAAGCAACTGGGCAGGAAGCAGAAGCCCTGTCTGCGCACAGCTGCCCAGCACAAGCCACTAGAGGTCGCTATTCTCCCAGGAAAAGGCTACAAACCAACAAGAAGGGAAGCTCTTCCAGCGGTCACTTGTACCAGCTCTGCAAACTATCTCTATCACCATGAAAAGGCAAAACTACAGGCAGACAAAGATCACAGAGACAACACCTGAGAAGGAGACAGACCTAACTAGTCCTCCTGAAAAAGAATTCAAAATAAAAATCATGAACATGCTGACAGAGATGCAGAAAAAAATGCAAGAGCAATGGGATGAGATGCAGAGAAAAATGCAAGAGCAGTGGGATGAGATGCAGAGAAAAATGCAAGAGCAGTGGGATGAAGTCCGGAAGGAGATCACAGATGTCAGGAAAGAGATCACAGAAGTGAAACAATCCCTGGAAGGATTTATAAGCAGAATGGATAAGATGCAAGAGGCCATTGAAGGAATAGAAGCCAGAGAACAGGAACGTATAGAAGCTGACATAGAGAGAGATAAAAGGATCTCCAGGAATGAAACAACACTAAGAGAAATATGTGACCAATACAAAAGGAAAAACATTCGTATTATAGGGATACCAGAAGAGGAAGAAAGAGGAAAAGGGATAGAAAGTGTCTTTGAAGAAATAATTGCTGAAAACTTCCCCAAACTGGGGGAGGAAATAATCGAACAGACCATGGAATTATACAGAACCCCCAACAGAAAGGATCCAAGGAGGACAACACCAAGACACATAATAATTAAAATGGCAAGGATCAAGGACAAGGAAAGAGTTTTAAAGGCAGCTAGAGAGAAAAAGGTCACCTATAAAGGAAAACCAATCAGGCTAACATCAGACTTCTCAACAGAAACCCTACAGGCCAGAAGAGAATGGCATGATATACTTAATGCAATGAAACAGAAGGGCCTTGAACCAAGGATACTGTATCCAGCACGACTATCATTTAAATATGATGGTGGGATCAAACAATTCCCAGACAAGCAAAAGCTGAGGGAATTTGCTTCCCACAAACCACCTCTACAGGGCATCCTACAGGGACTGCTCTAGATGGGAGCACCCCTAAAAAGAGCACAGAACAAAACACACAACATATGAAGAATGGAGGAGGAGGAATAAGAAGGGAGAGAAGAAAAGACTCTCCAGACAGTGTATATAACAGCTCAATAAGCGAGCTAAGTTAGGCAGTAAGATACTAAAGAAGCTAACCTTGAACCTTTGGTAACCACGAATCTAAAGCCTGCAATGGCAATAAGTACATATCTTTCAATAGTCACCCTAAATGTAAATGGACTTAATGCACCAATCAAAAGACATAGAGTAATAGAATGGATAAAAAAGCAAGACCCATCTATATGCTGCTTACAAGAAACTCACCTTAAACCCAAAGATAAGCATAGACTAAAAGTCAAGGGATGGAAAAACATATTTCAGGCAAACAACAGTGAGAAGAAAGCAGGGGTTGCAGTACTAATATCAGACAAAATAGACTTCAAAACAAAGAAAGTAACAAGAGATAAAGAAGGCCACTACATAATGATAAAGGGCTTAGTCCAACAAGAGGATATAACCATTCTAAATATATATGCACCCAATACAGGAGCACCAGCATATGTGAAGCAAATACTAACAGAACTAAAGAGGGAAATAGACTGCAATGCATTCATTGTAGGAGACTTCAACACACCACTCACCCCAAAGGATAGATCCACCGGGCAGAAAATAAGTAAAGACACACAGGCACTGAACAACACACTAGAACAGATGGACCTAATAGACATCTATAGAACTTTACATCCAAAAGCAACAGGATATACATTCTTCTCAAGTGCACATGGAACATTCTCCAGAATAGACCACATAC